GACTTTCAACCGGCTCTAAACAACCGGTGAGATCGGCACAAAAAGTGATGCTGCCAAACGTGAAGATCTCGCCGGGGATGAAGATGTCCCAGGCGCTTTCCAAAGAATAGTTGGGCCATCGGTCCTTCGGTGACCCCACAATGGAACTCTCAATGAAAGCACCAATGTCGGTGCCAAAACAGGCGGATCTCGGGTAGGGGGTCCCGAGATATGGATCTAGGATCAATGGGAAACAAGGAACAATGAACATAGTGTTTACCCAGGTTCGGGCCCTCTCGAAGAGGTAAAACCCTACATCCTACTTGATTGTATTTGATATATGATATGGTTACAGAGTCGATCTACATCGAGATCAGGCGATCTAAACCCTAGGTTGATGGGGTAATGGATGTTGCTCTAGCCCTAAAGACTAAAATCCTCTGGTTTATATAGGCACCACTAGGGTTAAGGTTACATCGATCGGTTACAACAAAGAAAACATTACATTATTCTTGACTTGGACGGCACACCACGACTCCGAAGATCTCATTCCCGGTCACGGGTCCCCGCCCTAGTTCGGCTTCATAGTAAAACATCAATCCGGCCCACAAGCAATGGGCCAGTGGCCCAACGACCACTTAATCCAGGACACCCTCACTTGGGCTCAATGCGTAGGAGCAGGAGGACGCCGCCAAGCACAGTGGAGGGACGCGACCAAGCTACATGGCTCGGGTGGGACTCGTTCACGCGGGCGCACTGTGCCGTCTATGCTCACCGTGTCCACGTCCACCATGCAGGCTGCTGGTGTTGGGGAGCTACAGAGAGGGGCTAGGTAGAAGCATGGGAGGATGCTGAGTGGCGTAGACAAGCTAAAGTGGTGCGAGGGAGGGCGAACGGGCGGCGGTAGAGGGGTCGCAGCACTCAGAGCGCGCCGACCGACTGTCGAACACTGCATTCATGCATGGTCACCGCGTGCACTGGTGCACGCGGTATGCCAAGGGCTGCCAAACCATGTCTAGGGTGTTGTCCATTTGACATGGTGCTGCAGTGTGCCCTTGGCTTGCCACCTCGCCCACTAGACAAGACTTGAGCTAGCTGATAAGTTTCTGGACGGAAATTTGTAATGGAATTAGAGAGAGATTTACTAAGAGTTAAAGAGTAAAATTTGGGGGTTAAGCTTCTGGTAGGAAGGTAGCTATGTGGTAAAAAAATCAGCTCAAGAGGATCAAGTAAAAACGCACTTGCTTCACTAAGTACCCTAACTGTCCAAAAGTGAAAATAATTTCTTGAGAAAAAATATTCCAAATGACTATGTCATATTTTTTCATGGGAAGGTGAGGCATGATCCAAAGAACATTTGGGGATTTCTTGGGGATTTGTTGAGCGGGAAAAATGAAGGTTGTTTCATAGCAGACTAAGAAAATATCCATTTTCAGAAGGGAAATGAATATTTTGCCATTAAATAAAATAATTCCATGGCATTATTTTGGGAGGGATGAAGTTAAGAGATGGTTTAGAGATCATAGAATCCACTTGGAAGAAAATCAAAATAATTTGCAAGTGACAAGTCCAAAAGAATTGATTGAAAATCCAAATGCAAATCAAATATTCAATAAATACAAGAAAAGAAAAAAAGAAAAAATCCAGGGTGTCACAAGTGGATACTAGGGATCAAGCCCTAACAAAACTAACCTGATTGCATTACTAAATCTCATCCAATCCATCACTGTCTAGCAAGCCTACGAAGGAATTACTCACTCCCGGCAGTGGGCATCATGAAATTGGTTATGGAGGATGGTTGATGATGACAATAGCACCGAATCCCCCTCTTCGGGGTCCCGAACGGACTCCAGATCTGATATCCCGATGAAGAATAGGAGGTGGAGACAGCTTCGTGTCATAAAATGCGACGAAACTTCTTCTCCTATTTTGTTCTCGGGAAATCTGAATTTATAGATTGGAATTAGGGTCAACGGAGCCATGTGGGCCCCATGGGCCACCAGGGCACGCCCTGGTGCCTCGTGGGCAGCAAGTGGCCCCCTCCAGTGGGTCTTTGCTCCAGTATTTTTTATTTATTCTATAAAAAATCTGCAAAAAGTTTCGTCCAATTCCGAGAACTTTTATTTCTGCACAAAAACAACATCATGGTAGTTCTACTGAAAATAGCGTTAGTTCGACTTAGTTTCATTCAAATCATGTAACTTAGAGTCAAAAACTTGAGCAAAAGTGTTTGGAAAAGTAGATACAGCGCAGATGTATCATGTCCCGGGGCCACCGAAGGAGTGGGGCAGGGCGTCCCTCCTTCTTCTTCTTCCTTGGCCCTCCGGGGAGAGAGGGATCTCTCCCTTAGATTGGATCTGTCTGTTGTCTTCTATTTTTCGCGACTATTATTGGAGCCCTTTAACGTTCTTATATTCCCTGAGATCCGTAAATCCGATTGGACTGAAATTTTGATCTGGAAATTATCTTCTTGCAGAGAAAGAAGGGCTCCAATTGACCTATGAGGTGCCCACATAGCAAGGGGCCGCTACCGGGGGGAGGTCGTGCCCTGTTGCCTTGTGGAGCCCTTAGGCACTGTCTTGCGTTGATTCTTTTTTCCAAAAATCACATATATTCCAAAAAAATCTCCGTAAATTTGTTTCGCGTTTGGACTTTGTTCGATATGGATTTTCTATGAAACAAAAAAATATGCAGAAAATAGATCTGGCAATGGCACTGGATCAATAATTAGTCCATAAAAATCATATAAAAGTGCAGCAAAACCATACAAAATTATAATAAACATGGCATGAATACTTCATAAATTATAAATACATTGGAGATATATCAATTATCTATCAAAGGTAAAGCGCTACCGGGTCGTGTAGACCGTACGCTTGCAGTTTGTAGAGAGGTTGTGCTTTCGGTTTTTGGTTTGAGGGACTGTTTGTGGGCGGTTCACATGATCGTTCACTTATGGTTCGAGGAACTCCATGTATGATCTACAACGAATCGTCCACTTCCGCTGCAACTTGGAGTTAGTAACAATTTTATCCAAACCGTTAATGCATCTTCATATTGTTCCTAGGTGATCGTAGGGTGAAAGTTTTTTGATTTATATTGTGTTTCCCAACAAGATCCCCTTTTTTGTGCGCACATGCGGAAATTGTAAGACAAAGGCGACCTAGTCTGCGCGACATTTAGACCTTTGACACGTGCATTATCTATCATTTAGCAGCCGACCAAAAGTCTGGCCGGTTGGCCGGCACACTGGCCTTCCCAAAAACCAGATCGCCTCTCTTCGTGGTAGTTCCAGAGACCTGATATCCCCTTTTTGGAGCATGCCAGGAAATGGACGGGAAGCTCACCCTCCACTAGCTTTGAACGCTTAAGTTCCACCTTTTGTTATTTATGAATGAGAAAAGTGAGCTTTTGAGATTTATTCTAGGAATTATAGAAACTTAATGGGCCAAGTTCATATAATTCCAATAAAATCTTTGTTCTCATAGGTTGCCTTTGCACATGCTATTGTAGTATGTCAGAAGAAGGGGGTCGATCACAATGTTCGCATAGAGAAGCTTGGACCTTCTTTTGTGTTATGTCTATTATGTGTGTTATCCTTTTCCGTTGCATAACACGGGTATTTTATTAGCGTCCATAATATAATTGTGTAGAATGTCCACAGATCACCAAAAGATGTGAGTACACAAGATAAATATTGCTAGCTGAACATGATTACATCTCTACCTTGAATGTTCATAATTTCGGTATACTGAAGGTACTGGAAATTTTTATCACATGCTATCTATCTCATTCATCTTTTGCATGATCTTGCATATTGTAGGTCTCTTATGTTGGTCTGTATGCACACATGTTTGAGCTATTTCGGCCCAGCTCCTTACTTGTGGGTGGTCCATGTCTAAAGATGTATGCCACTGCAAAGGTCAAACATACGGTAAGAAACTTCCATATGCAAAAACATAATGTAATACATCATGTGTATGTGTTATTCTAATCAATTTCTTGCACATTATATTAGTTCACTATTATAACAGTACACCTAAATATCATCTACAACATGTAGTCTTCATAAACAAGAATGCTTTCATGCCATTATCTGAATGATTAAAGAAAAATTCCCCGTCACCATGGTTCCATGAAAACTAGAATACTAAAATGTACAAAGAGTACGACCTTACTTGAACAGGATCTGTTCTATAGGCTCGTACCGCTGCATCCTTTACCAATAAGGAGGCAAGCACTTCAGTCTGGTTGATGAATTCTGACCACTGGGCCAAGATTCACCTGATGGGTGCAACACAAAATGTACAAAGAGTTCCTTATTATATTTCATGTAGACTTTGAGTCAAAATTTGCAATCCTTATTGCATGAAACTGATGAACTACCACGAAAAAATGTATGTGATTTCATAGTTTGCCTTTTATACAATGCACCCATCTTGATTTAGTTTTTAATTTTGACACAACCTTGTATTTTAGCATGCATATTCGAGTTTACAGAGTGCTAAAAAATTCGTTAAGAGCTTATTACAATTTAATATTTAACCCACCATTGTTGTTTGTACTTGGTACGCTACTTGTAGACTACACAAGAATGAATTTGCTAAAAAACATCTATTGAAATGCATAAGTAAATTCTTCTTACACTTTCAAAATCAGAGTAGTTACCCATTGTTAACAACTTTATAATTATAATACCCAAACCATATATATCTGACTTGAATGTTATTTCTCCATTCTTTATGGTCTCTGGTGCAATATATCCCCTGCATAACAATATGATAGTTAATATTAATATATGCGCATAAAGAAATTTTTACATATAATAGAAACATGGAAAGAATTCTTGATTGGATTAGCATACATTGTTCCACGAAGGATTTTGGTGTAAACTCTTGATATTCCTTCATCAAAGCATCTTGATATCCCAAAGTCCGCAATTTTTGGTTCCATACAAGCATCCAAAAGAATATTTTCAGGTTTTAAATCCAAATGAGTAATTCGTTGCTCATGAAGGCAATTCAAACCATGACAAATTCCCTAATCATTTGATGGCGAATTTTCCATTCATCTTTATGAGATTTATCTGCACATTGAAAAACTGACTCAAATTTGATGGCAAGTTTCATTCATCTCCAACAAAATAAGTGAAATATTTGTATGTGAAGAGGAAAAATGGGGCAACAGTGCCCTTGCTATGTCAAACTAAGCCAAGTATACATGAAATGCGCAACATCAATATCTATACTACCAATAGTCGTAAGGAAAAGAGAAGAAAAAACCCAGCACTTAGTTTTTTCCTGTTTGGGAACCGGCCACAAACAAGTCTCTAGCATTGTGGTCACACTTATCATGTTTGTACACAAATATCCGATTAAAATTTCTAAAATGTAACCCTTTTAATTAAACAACTAAGGGGGTTTAGGTTTTAATCTAGCTTTCTATGAACATGTTTGATTGTTCGAGAAGATAAATTCCGCGAAACTATGTCGTGTAGGAGAGATAAAATAGGCCTTAGGTTGCTTAGCTTAGTCAAATATGAGAGTGAATATATGGTCCCATTATCTATATTCAGATCCATCTGGACATGGATTTGTGTTAATATTTGTACGGGCATTTTTTCCACGAAAAATAAAATAAAAATATGCATGATTTGTACCTTCAAGATACTTCCCAAGATTTCCATTAGGAAAATACTCGAAGCATAACAGCCGTTGTGGTAGCTCTGACAACACATGCATTCCGTTGAATAATATCAATTCCCCCTGTGTATCTGCACAATAACCTAGAAATCTGACCACATTATTGTGCTTTGCTTTTATTAAACACTTAATCTCTTCCACAAAGAGTGTGTCCGAGAACCTCTCTGGTATGATGGAAAGTTTCTTCACAGCAACCTTCCTAGTCCCAAGGTCTCCCTGTTCAAGATATTAGTAGTTTAGCATTGCCATGCTTATTTTGCAACACTAGGAAAGGACACGTATAATTACCACATGTAACAATACACAATCAAGAAACTATATACCTGGTAAACAATTCCGAAACCACCACGGCCGATTTCTCGAGAGAAATTTCCTGTGATGGAGCTTAGAAATGGATATGATAGCATAATTGGTTCTGCAGTTGCATCAATCAATATGCCCTTCAGAGCTTTAAGTTGCGTTACTTGGTCGGTCATTCCTGTAATACAAAAATTCATCGAATAAAACTAACTCTCCAGTCTCCACAAAGAGTAGGTACTAAAATGTGTTCTCGGTATGAACTTGCAGGAATGTGGATACTAAAATACGTTATATATGGTCTCGTGTATGGTTTAAGCGGACGCTAGGAGTCGGCCAGCTTATACTTGCAAGGGATTGAGCATACTTGTGTGGCTGATGTTTCACGTGTGATCCATGGGTTGCAAAAAAGGATTTTTCTTAAAATATACTGCCCCGTTTTATAATATAAAAGTATTTTTTACAGTACATTAGTCTCTAAAAAGCTTCTATATTATGGGACGAAGGGAGTATTGGTTAACCTCCCCATTTAAAATAACACTTACCTCTAGAAGATAATAAGGTGCTGATGCTCTCCGGTGGTTGGCTGGATTCTTCATCTTCGTAAGGCTGGCAGAAAACAAGGAACATTAATCAGACTGTCTCACAGAACAGACAAACGTCCTTCAATTACTCCCTCCTTTCCGGTTTATAGGGTTTATATCAAAATTTTACTTTTTTTATTTTATAAGGCTCAATTTGGTTGTTTTTCATCACATGTTTAGATTCCAAGGTGCATTAAAGTATTAAGAGAAAATTGACCAATGCATGTACTTTATGCATGCATACATTACAATTAATGCATTGATAAACCTAATTTTTTAGGAAAACAAGAGCATTAATTAGGTGCCTTTGCAAACTACAAAAAATATTCCACCACTCATCATCTATCTTGGTTGGTGAGATTCTTGAATTGAGCCCTATAAACCGGAAAGGAGGGAGTAGAAAACAAAATGCGACCTTGCTACATAATTTCGTACATAATTAGAAAACAAAATGCAAATACGTACATAATTTCGGCAACTTAATGATATGATTTGGTCCCGCATGAAGCAAAAGAGAATTTGTTTCTAAGATCTACTCCCTCAATCTCATAATATAAAAATATTCTTGACACTAACACTATACTATTGTCAGAAATGTTTTTATATTATGAGAATGAGGGGGTAACAAATTATAAGCCCATCCATTAATTAGACCATTACCTGACTCTGCAGGGCTTTCTCAAAAAAAAAAAACCTGACTCTGCAGGGAGCCAAAGCTGGAGCTCGGCGGTGGCCCGGACGTGACCGTGATGGTCGACTCCTCGTCGTGGCCAATGCGGGAGTCATAGCTGTAGCTTGGCGGTGGCCCGGCCGTGACCGTGGTCGTCGACTTGTCGTCGTGGCCGATGTGGGAGTCATAGCTGGAGCTCGGCGGTGGCGCGGCCGTGACCGTGGTCGTCCTCGTCCACTTGTTGTCGATATTAAAGAGCGCCCTATGGAGGCTGGTCACAACGTCCGACATGGCAGGCCGGTCGTTCCCATGTGGAAACAGGCAGCACTCCGCCGAGTGCGCCACGAGCTCCAGCGCCTCCAGCTGCCGTGGCGTCGCCGCGGGGCGGCGGACCAGCACATCCGGTAGCTTCCTGTTCCGTATGGCCAGGAGCACCGAGTCCATCTGCATGGTGGCGGGATCCTTCCCCGTCAGCGACTCTAGTATCACCATTCCGAAGCTGTACACGTCGCTCGCCGGGCTCACACGCCCCGTGCGGCGGTACTCCGGGTCGAGGTACCCGGGCGTGCCGACAACCTCATCGACGACCTGGTCGCCCATTGCCGCCTGCAAGATCGCTTGGCCGAAGCCGGACAGGCGCGGCTCCCAGCTTCCGTCCAGGAGGATGTTGAAGGAGGTGACGTTGCGGTGGATGACCCCACAGCGGTGCAAGTGCTCGATGGCCCGCGACACGCCCAGCAGCACCTCGACGCGCGTCTTCCAGGTCGCTCTCACTGGCGACGAGCTAGAGCCGCCCCGCAGGAACACTGGAGCGCGCACGCGCAGGCCCAGGCGCATCAGGTGGTCTCTGAGCGTGCCGTTGCTCATATGCTCGTGGTGGTAGACGATGATGCGGTCCTCCTCCTCGGAGCACCAGCCGACGAGTCGCACGATGTGTTGGTGGCGGAGGGGGAAGAGGATCTCGACCTCCGCCACGAACGCGCCCTCCACGTCCTGCCTCCCGTTCTTGTTCATCACCTTCACGGCCACCTCCGGGCCGTCGTGGAGACGGCCCTTGTACAACGCCTCCGGGCTGCGTCGGCTGAGTTCGTCGGCGAAGTAATCGGTCGCGGCTGCAATTTCCGCCCACGTGAGCCTGACGGCAACAGGACCCGAGGAACTGCCCGGCGACGGCACCGTCGTCGTGTGGTTGAAAGTGGAGCGGCCGGCGGTGGCGTTAAAGATCAAGTTCAGGAGGTTGATGTGGGAGTCGATCCTGGCGTTGACCTCCTTCAAGCTGTCGGCATGGCGTTGACCAAGTCCAATGAGCTCCCTGGCGGGGCTCCAATTCTGGCAGTCGAGGACCAGCTTGTGCGCCTCGCCCAGCGTTTTTGCCAGCTCGGCGAGTGACCGCTTCATCTTCGCGTCCTGCGGCAGGCGAGGGAGCACGTCGCCGATGATGGACAGGCGGACCGTGAGGTACTCGCACTCCCGCTTACTCTGGCGTGCCGTCCTCACCGCATCAATGATCTTGGAGATGAGCCTGGCCAGGGTCCCGACGAGCTGCGGCAGGCGAGGGAGCACGTCGCCGATGATGGCCCACGGGTTGAATGTTTCTTCTTTCTTCACTCCCAGCAAATCCTTACTTCATTCTAACCAGTTTTAAATTTTAAGAAAACATGGACTGAGCACATTGAAGTTTGGCTCCCTCACAAAAAAAAAAGTAAAGCTTGGTTAAATTTTAAAAACCGGGCGAAAATGAACATAACCGAGCCACACAACCTTTTTTTTTCTTGCAAATACGATCTTTGATCTATATCAAAGTTCAGCACAAATACAAAACACTTCAAACATTATAAAGATATACATCGACATTCTAAGACCACCGAACGGCCACCGCCGCCACCGATAGGGGAGCGGCGACATCTCTAGGACTTATCTCTGGCCACTCCTTTTTGGCGACTTATTTCTTCCCCCCTTCCGACGACCCATGGACTCGCTTTATTTAACAGCTGAGTCCATGGGGTTACAAAAGACTCCGGATTATATTCGCAGTCATAATCCTACTCTAAGTCCTCTAAATCCTCCGTGTCCTCCAAGTCGGAGGTCTCCGTCTTGTATATGGACTCCTTTCCTTGGTGAAATTTGGTCTAAGCCCAGGTCCTGTAGCAGGTCGGGTCTCGTTGCAGGCCGGGTCAAGGCTGTAGCCTGCTCATTTGGCCCACTCATTTAGCAGGGCAAACTTAACTCCGGAGATGACTTAACCCCAGAAATGAATTAACCTCATGAGCCGGGTCTAGCCGCAGGTAACTCCCCCGACATTAGCCCCCAGATTAGCTCGAATACATGCTTGGCATGCATTCATGCTAAGCTCATAAAATAAAAATAATTAATACGTTAAATGACTGCTCTCAAATGGCCGCTTAATTAATATCGTCGGGTACTAGTCAACAGTTGACTTTACAAAAGTTCTGAAAAAAATTAGCAAAATTCAAAAACCATGAACTCAAAAAAATTCATGGGTTTATAAAAAAAAGATCACAAACTTCAAAAAGTACATCAACTTTAGAAAAGTTTATGGATTTTGAAAAAAGTTGTTTATCGGTTCTAAAAAAGTTCACAAATTGAAAAGGTTCAACGATTTTTGAAAAAAAACACGAAATTATAAAATGGTCATCAATTTTGAAAATATTCATGAATAACTGTTTTAAAATGTTCACGAATTGAAAAATGTACATCGATTTTGAAAAAAGGATTCATGATTTTGAAAAAATGATCAATTTTGAATTTTTTTATTGAATTTGAAAAACTTCATGGATTTTAGAAGATTAGTTCTTGCCGACATATGGTTCTTGGTAGATGTAATCTTGGTTTGTTCCTGCCCCCAGGATGGAGTAGTAAACTAGATCTAGCTTAGCAGATCTCAAGGCAAGTACACTGCATTTGCCACTAACACATTGTTAGTTAATCCATGGCACATTATCATCTTTTTTTCGTTTCTCAAGGAAAGATCTCGATTAGGTAAAAAAAAGTAGCGATGCGGTTCGGCACCAGTTCACAAGCTACCAGTTAATCCAAGCCGTACTGATCTCTATCTCGAGCACATCTAGAGCAATCCATTCTAAATTCTCCACATGGACATACACTGACCAAAAATACAGCCCTCCTCTTTGTCAGGATTGAGCTGCTCTATCCAGAGCTGAACGAGCAGGGCATCCAGCCATCTCAAAGGTTGGTTCAAGTCTAATTGTTTCTTTGCACCTAGCAGTTACAAAATTTGTTTCACCTCAATATAGATAGATTCTCGCCTGTTGGGGTGGATGGATCATTCAACTTTTCAAAACACTAGATGACCCGTTGCGCCCATGGCGCAAAGGCCGAATGTAAGCCAATTGGGGTAAGAGTATGCATTAACATATTGTTTTTCAAAAATTATAGCTCATATACTATATGCAGTAAGTACATAAGATTGGAAATGATACACCAAGTCATGCAGGAAAGGACCCTTGTGATCTTTTTAGATTGGATAAATAATCATGTAGAGGCCTTTGGATATGAACTTGAAGGAGCATATATTTCCTTTATCATGGTTGTTTCAAAAGCATGCAATAGAGCAGTCTAAGTAGCGGATAATCGATAGCTAAATGCACAACACTGTCTTAGGGGATTACATAAGATCGAAAAGGAGGACAAACATAGATGTCTTTGTAGGCATTTATACTAATACTATGTTATATAGAAAGGGGCTCCTGCAGCTTGCTTATATTGAGTAGACAATCAAGTGCAATCCCTTGGAAGTGCATTTGAAGCCGAAAGCATATGCTTGCCCTTCGTTCATGTGGGTCCGACGGAAGAAGTCGCTCCAGCCTTTAGTGATGGTGGCCCTTTTGTCAACTCCCTTGATAAAGCGGGTTGTGACAGTGGTTGTTCCGTCTCCAGTTGTGATTGGAAGTTCACCGTGGTCAACATCAAAAGGGAACCCGTAGAAAAGTGGACATTAAAGTACTGAAAACAATAGTAAAGGTTACTCACTATATCATTTTATACCATGCTATTATATGATACAGAACAGAATAATTGTGAAGGATTAGCATTCTTTTGCCTTGTGTTGCAAATGTTTATGTCATGTGGCACACATAGTAGTTATTAGGCGTGGTGGTGATGCGGATGATCTTTCGCAGTGCACGAACATTATGGTTGTAGAGCCTAACTGTGTTTGCCCCACACAACATGGCGACTAAACTCATCTAAGTAGTGCTTGCAAGGCTCACCTATGTTAAATTGCACAAAATTATACTTTTCAGTAGTTGTTGCGAGAGCTGATGGAATGGGAAGAGTAATGTAGTTCTTAGCACGGAGAATGGACATTCCAGGCTTTAGATGGATTTTCTTGCCTT